TGGGCTCAATAGATGTGAGGCTTAATGAGCAGTCTGCACTGAGCTTTCAGGGCTGCCAAACCGTATCCTAATCATTCAGGCCCCTTTACTACGCGACCCTGAACCCAAAACTCCAAACAAACTAAGGGACATGTTAGCCGCCGGTGCCTCCTCTGCGACCATCTATGCACCATTGGCCTTCGATGCTTTCTATGCCTTTGCAGCCACTCGGCCCACAACATCTGCCGAATGTGCCCGTTACCCTGCACAACATGCTGACTCAACCCACAAAGGCGTAGAGTCTGGTAGAGGAAAGTCTTTTGAATAAAATTGGTGGCTTGTCCACTGCAGCTACTATCCTGCTTGCATTTGCCAGTTCGGCCTCTTGTTTGGGAGTCCTTTTCGCAAAGCCTCTACGTCCCTAACCCCCTAGCCACTAAGATCCTGAACCCCGGGAGTCCCGAACAAAAAAGCCGTTCAAGATGGAAGTTCGCTGCCAGAGGCATCCCTTGTCAACCCTTAAACCCTTAAACCCTAAACCCTAAACCCCTTAAACCCTCGGCCATTTTTCGCCGTTCAACCCCAGCTTCGATGGGGGCCCCAGAACTCTAAAGCCAGAAACCTCTGCACACCTTGAACCCTCAAAAAAAGAAACTCTACGCCGCCTAAAGCCTAAAGCCCCAACCCCGAAACCCTAAGTCTCAGTTAAAGCTTCATAAACTAATCCCGTTAACGAACCGGTTTGAAGCCTCTTAGGTGGCTATCAGCCGGCTCCTCGTCTCTGGCTTGTCAGAAGCAGATATCCGGGGCGACGTGCTTCTGGCAGAGCTTCGCCAGACGAGCTTCACAGGTGCACTTTTCTAGGGCTTTTCACGATTTTGGGCTTGGGGCTGTGCGGTTTAAGGCGCTACACCCTAAAGCTTTAGAGTGTATGAGGTTAGCTTTCCAACCCCAAGCACCGCAGGTGCGCTTGGGGCTTCGGGGCTTTAGGGCTTCTGGGTTCAGTGCTTTCAGGGATAAAAGGCCATGCTGGCTCGACCATGCATTCCTAGGGGCGTGCAAAGCTTTAGGTTCTAGGACTTTAGGGGTTTCGGGTTTAGGGTTTGGGGTTCAGCGGTTAGAGTTTTGGACTAGGGGTGCTTTGTCAGAAAGTCCTATGTACGATGAAGTCTTCTATTTAGTAGCTTGCTTATGACCATCCATGTGAGCGGTCAAGCCAGGAGGAGAGGAGCAGCAGTGGTGCTTTTGTCCTGGATCCTTGTCCCTCTTTTTTCTGCTTTGGGTTTACTTGCACTGTGGTCATGGTGGTGCTCGTTCGCTTGTTTTCGCCAACACATCTAGTAGTAAGTGATGAATGACCATCTTCCTCACCATGACCGTCATCATCGCAGGGCAGCAGCACTCCGGCGGTCGTAGCCGCCGTATACCCCTAAGTCTGATGGGTCATTGAGCGAACATGGAACTCCAAGAGGCCCCCCTTTTTCCTGTACTTCTTTGAGCCGAGGGCCTTTTGGGGAGTTTTCCCTACACACCCTAAGCCCCTGAAAAAGGAATCCCTAAACGCTTGCTTGGACCCGAACAGACCACCTGCATTTGTAGGGGTTCCTTAATGTGATTCCCCCCTTATGTAAGACCGTAAAGCATAGGTAATTTGGGGCTAAGGTTAACACTACTTAGAGGCCCAGGGGACTTAGTAAGTCGGTTATGAGTAGGGTTATCATAGGGTCAATTCCTTTTAGGGTACTTAAAACTCTACTTGCAACCTACTGACTAAGTCCCTCGGGCCTCCAAGCATTGACCTCCTAAACCCAAAAACCCTAAAACCCTAAAAGGCCCTAAAACCCTAAACCCTAAAAGACCCTAAAACCCTAAACCCCTAAACCCTATTGGCATTCTCCCTGAGGCGCTTCCGGCGAGGTGAGCTTCAACGAGAATGGCGACCGCCTGGCAGCCTACGAGCTCTTGCTCTTTGCCCAAACCCCCTTTTTGGGACTTAGGGTCGAGCGTTTAAGGGTTTCAGGGCTTTTTGGGGTTTTGGGGTGTTGGGTGTATTTTTCTGGGGGACTTAGGGTCTTCTAGGGTTGTGTTTTGTTTGAGGGAGCCGTGCACGCTGTGGTCGAGCGCGCATGGGTGCCGGCTTCGGAGCTTTTCTGGACTCGCCTGGTTCTTTTGGTTGATTTCAGCATATGGGTAGTTCTCTAAATTAGGGTCCCTTTTAGGATCCTTTTTATATGGGTGCCGTACTATATTTGTACGACGTGAGGGCCCAGAATACCTTACCAGGCTTTGCAGTCCATGCTTCAACGTAGAATCTCGCTGTGGTTTCTAGCCAAGAAGGAAACTGCATCCCACTGCGTCTTCCCTTCACCCCTGATAGTCTCCCGAAATGCCGAGCTGAAAACCACATGGTCTTCGGGTTCTAAGAGCTGACGGAGTGAGGTTTCGAGGCAAACCGTGCTTGGTGACGTTTTTGCAATACGGCTGTGAGCATCGATTCGTTTAAGCTGCTTGTCGGTGAGGGCTGCGGCTACGGAGTCTAGACGGTGTATGAGCGTTGCGAGAAACACGCTTTGGAATATGAAGTTTTGTGCGACGTGATAAGGAACCCGTTCCCTATATTTAATTTGCGTTGTGGTCGGAACCGCGGTGCCATCCGAAAATGTCAGGGAGGTAGGCGGAGGGTCTCGGGCTTAAGCTTTAGGGCATAAGGGTTTAGGAGCTGAGGGGTTTCGGGTCTAGGGACTCAGCGAGGACCTAAGGCTTCTATGAGGTTGCCACAAGGTTTCTATGAGGGCTTTGCAAGGTTAACCATGGTGAAATGCAGTCCGATGGGGAGCTGTGTTTAGAAGTGGCACTAACCCACGCCCACCTTGAACCTCTTTACGACACCCCGCGATGTTTGCAACCTTCACCATCCTCCTAGAAGCCCGCGATGCAAACGTCTTCAAAGCGACCTCTAAACCCCAAACCCCAGCACCTCGAACACCCTGCCGTAACCAAGCTCTCTACCTGCGATAGCGTAGTCGGAGCTACTTTGAGCCTTCATGTGGGCAGCTGTCCCCCTATGTAGTTCCACTCTCAACATGATATCCTCGAGCTTGGGAACTCCAAAGAGACCCTAGTTTTCACAACCATAGGAGTGCACCGAGAAAAGGATCCCTTCTCTTCCGGGAGCTCCTTATAATGAGTTCAAATAAGTTCTTTCACAAGAACCCCCCAGTCCTTGCAGGGAATCTTCTAAATCCTAAACCCTACTCCTTAATGCCTTAACCTTAAACCCCTAGTCCTTAGGCCTAAAACTCCCTAAACCCTAAGCCCAAGCACACCCCTTGCGAGGAATCTTCAGTCCTGGGAAGCCTCCGTTCGCTCTGTCGCCGTGGCCGTTTTCTCCGCCTCCAGCGGCAACTTCTCCTTCAAGGACCCCAATGGCAGCACTTTGGCAGGGTTTGGGTTGGGGCTTCCGGGTTTGGGGGTTTGGGGTTCAGGGTTCAGGGTTCAGGTTAAGGCCTTAAGGAGTTGCTGGGTTTTCGGGCTCAGGGCTAAGGATTGCTTTTGAAGAAGACTGCTATCATCTTGGGCCCCCTTTCCACATCATCTTCCTGATCTTGCTTACACCCCTACTGAATCGTCTTGATGCTCCATTTAAAGCCCTGATACCAGATGCTCCATTTAAATGGCCCCTACATAATGAGAACAAAAAACAGCCGAAAACAAAAATCTAGTCATAAAACAAGCCCCCGAAACAACCCGACACCAATACCGGCCCCAAAAACGAAGCAAAGACGCAGATCAGGAGCCCCTAAACCCCTCAACCCCTAAACCCTAAACCCCTCAACCCCTAAAACCCTAAACACTTGAACCCCAAAACCCTCAACCCCAAAACCCCCAAAACCCTAAACCCTAAGCCCCTCAACCCTCAACCCCTCACACCCCAAAACCCTTCAAACCCCAAACCAGGAGCCCCCACTCTGGATTGACGGCTCTGTGGCCATGGAGGCCCCTGAGCATCTTCGCTCCTGTGATCCAGGATTCTTCAAGGGCGAGTCGCGACGCCGGGCCCGAAGGTTTGGGTTTAGGGTTTAGGGCTCCTTAAAGGGCTTAGGGGTTTGGGGGTTTTGGGGGGTTTGGGGGTTTGGGTTTTGGGGGTTTGGGGGTTTAGGGGTTTAGGGGTTTAGGGGTTTTGGGTTTCAAAAGAAAAGGGCTCCTTAAAGGGCTCTCTCAGGGATCTATAGAGGTGTTCGGGGTTTGGCAGTTTTGGGGTTAAGGGGTTTTTGGGGTTAGGTCTTCCTGAGCTGAGTTTATCGGATGCATAAAGTATAAGGGCTTTGTCTAAGGCTTTTGGAGACGGGCTTCAGAAGGCTGTTTTCCAGGCGGCTCAGGGGCTTCCAGGCTTAGCCAAAACCCCAAAATACTAAACCCCACAATCCTAAAATCCTATTCCCCTAGACCCTAAACCCTAAAATCCCAAAAAAAAAAAAAAACAGTTCCCCAAGCCCCATAAGCACGAAAATTCTGGACCCTGGCCTTCTTGGGAGCCTCAAGGATCCCCTAGCGTAACCTTTGTCGCTTAGAGATTTTTGACGGGATTTACAACTTGGGCTTCAGGACTTATGGCTTTTCCCAAAAGAATTCCATGATCTGGGTGTTAGGGTTTAGGGTTTGGGTTGTAGGGTTTAGGGCTCTTGTAAGGAAACATGAGCTTTCAATGTGGCCTTGTTATGATTTAGGGTAAAGCTGGAGGTCTTGCAAGTTTTGTTGTTCAGTTTGTACACTTGCGTGCGGGCCTCTTCGTCTCTCTCTCTCTCTCTCTCTCTCTCTCTCTGCATTTTCTGAGTTCCCGAATGCGCACAGCAGAATCCTCAGTGTGCCTGCCCTTCGATCTCCAGGTGTGCATTGAATGGTCGTGTTCTAAATTCTGGTGCTTGGGTGTGTGAGAGTGTGAGTGGAACAGCTCGAAACTTTGAGCAGCGATCCCATGAAATGTGTGCATGGGTCGGGGCTTAAAGATTCCATGTACCAAGGACGATGCGAGCGGTGTCCACGGGGCCACAGCTGTGCAGGAGGGCCCAGCGCGAGCTTTGTGGCCTGCGACAAAGGAACTTTTGCAAATGAGAGTGCGATGTCAAGCTGCCACCTCTGTCCGGAAGGCTACTTCGCCTCGGAAGTGGGTTCTGTAGCCTGCAGTCCTTGTGTCCCTGGAATGGTGGCGCCTAACAAGGGCATGGAGTCCTGCAGAAGGTGTGAGCCAGGGAGCTACCGATTTTCCCCACGTGGGACACAATGCGAGTCCTGTGGGAACAACCAGATCACATCCGAGAGCGGTGCCTCAGACCATACAAGAAGCATGAAGTTGCATTATGTTGAGTTATCGTATACCTTATTATTTGTTATATTGCATCACATTATACTATAAGCTATTGTTTGTGTTTAAATAATAGTAGATCGTTTCTGAGCTAGTATCATAGGTGCCACCTCTCAGTCCGAGTGCATCTGTGCATTGGGCACCTTCATGTGCGAAAGTCGCGGCTGCCTCCCGCACCTCGGCCTCTCCTGGAAAGGATTGCAAAAGGGGGCTTTAATAATTAGCATAGGGCTGGAAGGGATTGCAAAAGGGACTCTTTAATAATTATCATAGGGTTTTAGGGCTTCTTGAATCAGGCTTCCATTTAAGGTGTTCTATACAAGTCTTAGCATCAGGGTTTCAATGAAAAAGGGTGCTTTAATGATTCGAGCGGAATTTGGGGATATAACACACTATAATTATAGTAAGCTTTTCCAAAGTAGTATTGGTAATCACTTTCAAGCCCCGAAAGTACGCATGTGGATTCTTCAATAGTTGGGTCCTTGTTGGGGAGTCAGTATGATGGGTCCTACTCTTTGGGGTCTACTCTAGGGTCCCCAAGTCTTCATACTCCCTTTCTTTTAAACCCTACCCTATAGACCGACCAAAGACAATTTTTTTTCGATTCAAACCCTACCCTAGACCCTAGTTTCGACCAAAGGCAAAACGTCGATTCAACGTGATAACATAGATCCCATCTTTCGAGCCGAAGTCTGCAGAGGGCTCCTTTTGGGGGTTCTCTTGATGAGGGAAAGCATATTAACTACTGTTGATGATGGAAATCCTTAGCATTCCCTTAAGGACCCTAAACTATGGGAATTATGGTATACTCTTTATTATGGGTAGTGCAGGATTTATATCATCAACCGTACCATGTGGGACTGAGTTTTAAGAACAGAGCAGCCAGCTCTGGAAAGAAGGCGGGTGCTTGACGAGGCTGTCGCGCAACACACACTGCTTGGAAGGTACAAGTAGGCAACTACAAGAGCGAAAGTAGGGCCACATTTTAGAAGCGAGTGGTGCAATAAAGGGGCTTAGATAGTTGCCAATACTATTTTGGGAGCTGCTTGTGATGCTTAGAAGATACTATACCCCAAAACCCTGTTCGAATTATGAAGGCCCCCCATATTACATCAAGCCCCCTTCGCAGGCGATTATCCCCAACATTGGTTGTGACTCATATACCTGGGACACTGATTGCGAATGCGTGTTCCTAACGACCCGTAAAACCCCCCGCAGCAGATCCATGAAAGCCATCCATTTTTCGTCCGATTTCCAGTCTTCTTATTGTGTGGGAAGCTTGTTGATGTCCCATTTGGTAGGTTGCCTTGCTGGCGCCTTAAACCCTAAACTCCTGAACCCTCAACCCTGAACGCCGTAAACCCCTAACCCTTAAAGCCCTAAACTCTAAACTCCTATATCCCCTAAAGCAGAGCAACCGGCAAATCCCAGGTGTCCAGTTGGCCTCCTCTGCCCGACAGGGCTGGGCCCTCCGCTGCAGAAGGTCACTCTAAAGCATCAGCAGAAGTTTTATCATGGGGCTTGTTAAGGCTTTAGAGCGGCTTATCTAAGGTTTGAAAGAGTTACAGAGGCTTGCCTATGCCCCACAATGTACGGGATCTGCTGAATCGTAATAGCCGAATAGCAGATCCTGAAGAATTGTTGAATGTTTTTTCCCTCGATGCACAGAAGCCTGCATCACCTCAAGCACCCAGAGCTTGGGGTGATATTTTTCGTTGTATTGCATACCCTAACTGATATGTCATATGTATATTAACATATTTTCAACCTATAGACCATGACAGAAAAAGTGATGGGCCCCACATCAATGCTGTCCATCTTGCACTCCCCTCGCGAGCAGGCTGGCTTTTGGACGGAGCCCGCCTCTTCGGAGCTCTGCCACTTCGAGGTGGGAATCTTAAAAAAAAAAGATGCAAGGTTGGGAGCTTCATTCAAAGAATCGATGGGGCCCTATAGGGGTGCATAGAAACCCCAAGAAAGCCCCCAAGAGAGCAGGATCCCGATGAGCGGTTCGAGGTTGGAAGCTTCAAGACTTGATGGGACCCTCGTAGTTACAAGGCCTTCAACATCTACCCTAAAACCCCCCTAAACCCCAAACCCTAAACAGCCACGCTAAACCCCCCCTAAACCCTAAACAGCTACCCTAAACCCCCCTCAAAACCCTAAACCCTAAACAGCCACCCTACACCCCCCCCACCCTCAAAACCCTCAACAAACAGCTCCCCTAAGCCCTAACACCCAAATACCGGGAGCTCTCCGAAAAAGCCCCTTGGCTTTAAGAAGCTCAGGTTTTCCGGTGCCGCAACACAGAGGAGTGCCCGGCGAATGCGGCGCTGGGTTCCTGTGCCGAGGGTCGAGAAGGTCAAGCCTGTAACAACTGCCAGGTGGGAAGCAGTCCGATACCTTAAAATTTATAACTATAGTAGGATCCCTTATATGGTTTAAGGTATATATTCCTTAATTAAGGGATATTGTGGTGGCATAGAAGAAGTACCGATTGCGAACATCTTTTTTTTCTAGGGCTTCCCTGAACGACCCGAGAAGGGACCGATAAAGATTTTGAAATATAAAGGTCTGACTAATTAGACGAGGGTTTGGGGGACACTATCGTATAGTTATGCAGGTACGATTAAGGCATGTTGTTGGTGGTACTAAACTCTTGGCGTGCGTCATGTAGAGGTTTTCATGGTTCAACTGGAGGTATTGGGCGACATATTACGAGTTATACAGGAACTGGAAAGGGATATTGTCACAAACTTATTCAGGCGGTGTTTCGTTGCCGCTTTGCGGGAATGGCCAGGATTCTTTAGGGTAGGGTGGGTTGGTGGTATGGGGTGGGGTTCAAGGTCTCGATAACTAGATAGGTCTAGGGCTTGGGGCTTCCTAAGTTGTGCATGCATTCCCTTCGGTTTGAGGTGCCTTTTAGCAAGGATCCTGCTGTTTAGGTTCTAAAATTCGATTGGCTGGCGTCCAAAGGCGCAGAAGCTAAAAGTTAAGTGGGAGACAGAAAATCAAGTTTGCCCCAAGTATAAGCATGCGAAAACATCGCTGCGATCAAATCCTACCGGCAATGCTTGTAAAAGTGACAGCGCTCACTGCAGTATGTTCAGCCAGACTTACTATTACGGGAATTAAGCACACAGCAGTTATCGTGACAGGTGCTACTGTCATCATTATCACCACTATTGGTGCGCAAAGAAGTATGTACCATGTCTCTATAAATACAAGCATCAAATCTATTGCTACAATAGCTGCTGCTGACAGCATGAAGCCACTCCCAACAATCCAAGCTGACAGGCCAGGCACTTCCCTCGGCAGGATGCTGAGCAGTTTGGAAGATGCGATCCCTGCGGCAGCTCGCAAGACTACCTATGCGGTTCGGGGCAGTGTTTGGATCACAAGATGCGTCATGACAATGGCCATGGGCCATCTCATTGTCAAAGTACTGTCACACGCCTATTCCTCATTGCAGTGGTGCTGGTCGTTCTGTGGTGGAGACAGCAGCAGCCGTAGCTGCACCTGTAGTAGTAGTTCTAGGGGTAGAAGTGAGTATGGGTCCTCGATATGGTTTGTACCAGACGCAGTATTAGCGCTGTTATTCATACCAGTTGGTACTGCTAGATCAGTGCAAAGAAGATCAAAGAAGTAAGTCGAGGCAACACCTGCTAGACTCTTCCGCACAAGAAGCAATGCAAGTAGAGTAGCAGAGTAAGCGCTTTCTACACTACATTCTCAAAAATCATTCTCAATACTTGAAACAGGTCTTTCAACAGCGCGAGATTGCTGTACCTGCAAATCATGGTAGTTTGCATCGTTCTATTTCTAATGGCAAATACCAATGGACTCATATCCAGATGCCCATAGCCAGACCCTGAACTCCGAAACCGTAAACCTTTCTGAGAATCGTAAGGCTTCCAATGGGTTTAGGTTTCGGGTTTCAGGATTTCAAGGGACGGTTTGAAGAACAGTCCTAAGACTCCTGTTGCTGCTGGGCTGCCCATGCAACTCGCAGGGCTCAAGGTTTGCTTTCCGTTGAAGTGCCGCATTCGACACACCTCTGCAGGGCTTCGAGTCGAGGCCCTCAAATCTGCAGTCAATCGATTTTCTGACACTACGAAACGAAGTGGGATTCTGTTCGGACCTTGCGGAAAGACAATGCAATAAACGACGAAACCCCGCCGCCCCCTCCCAGACCTGAGTTGTCTTTGCCTGCATGGGACACCTGTATTGGAACGCAATTTAAAGCGGATCTATGGTGAATACGATGGTAATCCCCAAACCTTGAAGCCTAAACCATCAACCAGAGACCGGTATGACTTGACTAAGTTGTGCAACAAGAAGCCAGCACATTGAGGCCGAAGGATGTGCGACAGAAGTCGCGGTGACCTGAACGGGAGCCTAAATACATCCCAAAAAGCCGCACGCCTCAAAGCCACGAACTGTAAGGGCCCGTGGTGTAGGCAGGGTTTAGAGCTAGGGAGTTGCACGCTTTTCGGGATGAGGGACTTCGACAGTTCAGGGTTTTTAGGGCTGTTGGGGTTTAGGTCTTCGGGTAACGCCTCAAGTCTCGGATCAGGCGTCATGCACACAAAAACCGCATTACAGAACCCTGCAAACCCACGGAACCCTGTAAAGCCGAAAGCCTTATGAGTCCAAAAAAGCCCAGGTGAGATAGACGTGCTTCCCGGAATTGCCTTCCTGGGTATCGCCGCATGCCACCCGGCTTCCCATATGTTCCGAAGTCCTTTAAGGGTACTTGAGAAGGGTTCCTGTAAGTCTCTTGAAGCACCTTCCTACCAGGGTTCCCCCTAAACCTATAGCCAACACTTCATGGGTTTGCACCGTTGTTTGACAGTCTAGCTGGGAAGCTAATCTGGGAGCCTCAAACACTCTGAAGTCTTGGGTCCATGGACAAGTTGCCCTCGCTTGGCTTTGAGTCTAGAAGTTCAGGCGCCTTTC